GTACGTCTCACCAGCGTCCCTTTATTGTAGATAATTAGGAATATTCGCCATACTGTGGAAGGAAAAATCATTCAGGTTGGATTACCAGCGGATGAGCTGAAACAGCTCGTTGTTATGTAAACGTAATGTGAATTTCTCGCACTTGGGCCAGCGATATACACTATGACCAGTCAATATGATCAGTCTATGGGGGCTTTTCTTGAGGTTATTTTCCTCGGACGTATGGAACATCAATTTCGGGATCAATTTGAAAAGCTGGATCTAAATACATATATCCATTGATGTGTAGACGATCGGCCATCTACATCGACAGGGCAGAGATACAACTTAATTACCGAGTAACCTAGCTCGTCCCGGTCTGGCTTTGGAATACAATGAGTGGGAACTTCGGAAATAGGAGATCGCCGATGACCCGTAAGAAACTAACTTCGTCGATCACACAACGCCTGACCGAAATGAAACCCTGTGCCATGCTGCGCGACGCGTTCAGAATCCTCTATAACACAGCAACACAAAGATTATGATATACGCCAAGGCACCAGCCTTTCAAAATTACCATCCCAACTCTGTAAATAGCGTGCATGTCATATTATCCTGGGAACAAATCTGTTTGGTGAGAAATTTTCACCGGAATTTTTCTCCATCTACGTTCTATTGTTCACTGACTACATATCAATGATCACCTAAACTGCAGTATGCACGTATGCAGATGCATTGAAGTGACACAGGATACATTGTGCAAACCTATGATTTTGGCTTCCCTAATAAAATTCGCCACTGGGCAACTATTCTTCCGATTTCTCAGTTTTCTGTCATGTTCCAGATTTGACACAAACTCACTTTGTTGCAGCACTGGCGTACATAGGAAGAAACACAACGAAGCTCACTCCTCATGCCTTCCGAAATTCAATAGCCTACTGAAGTGAAAGTTGGCGTTTAAAATTATGTGCTAAAAACCATCAATCGGTTCATGAAACCATGTTCCACGAATCAATTTATCTCATAAACGGAAATAGTCTCATTGAGGCGTTGCTGTCCATCATTTGTTAACAAAGGAACATCATTCCTAAAAATAATAATTCGCGTTATAAAGGGTACTTTAGTTAACTTCTGAATCGTATCCTATCGTGAGTGCTGTGAAAATCAATTGAATTCAAATGACTACAAATCAGCATCATTGCTTTAGTTGGATGTGTCGTACCGACCACTCCTTGTATGGATAAACAGGCACCTGTTCGTATATTATATGAAAGATAACATCCTTTCGGGTGGGTCTATTTCCAGCTAACTGGTTGTGTAATATGCAAAATGCGATGGATGTGTTAAGCCGATAGAGATGGTGAATATCAGGTAGATATACAACTGTCTAATCAGCTGCGAGGTGGCCGAATGGGTGATGGACTCATGTTCAACCTGCGAGGTGCCGATTTCGATCCCCAGTGAGATCCATGAACTCGCACTGCTGACGAGAAACAACCAGGTCGCAGTGTCCAGTGCTTCCTGGCATTTCAGTTCACGTTTCTTTTGTTATTTGCACGAGAAACTCCACCACGTAATAAAAATGATCGTATTGAATTCACTTCACACTCCAACCAGATTCGCCGTTTACATACACTCAAACGCGCATCTTATCCATTCTGTTATTCATTATCATTTCATTCATGTATTTCACTATTTTCCGACTAAGTGACTGAGTTCACCCAGTGAACGTGTTCATAGGGCCGATTACCCACCGCCCCCCTCCGTGATTATCGTAACCGTCTCCGCATAAGTGTTCGCTTCCCCGATCTCCACACACTTCTGAATCCCTACCCGTTAAGCTTCCTGGAGATATTGGGTCAAAACATACTGTTACCTCAACATGGGCTCGGTCGTGAGTATAAACAAATCTGAATAATGAGTTAACGTTCGCCAGTACACACATCAGTTCCAGCTGGCTACAGGGTGTAGAGCGGTTGCCCGAGAAATATAGAAATGATCGGTCTATGAACGTTTTCTGTGTTATAGAATTCGACTGAATATTTTGATTTAACCTTATCAACCTTATCAAGGACAAATCCAGTTCTCATAATCTTGCCAACCAATCGACAACGTTTACCGCCAGAGTAAATTTTACCGATGATTTTGATCAACTTAGTTCCTCCTTGGCTTTCAGAAGAATATCTGTCATTTTTTTGTAAACCGGTAATAAAACGAACTGATAACAATTCGTTCGATCCTGTTCACCATTCGCTGCAGAACCCTTGGGTTCCTCATTTACAAGAACAGGATTGTACTGTTATTCCTAAATACCGATTTCGAAAGATAAGTTGTATTCCGAGAAACCGCCTTTTCAGTGAGCCGACCGTTTTAAACTAGCATTACATACCCAATTAAAGCAGGAGTTGTGAGGTTGGTTGAACTTTCAATTATAGTATTCCATATTGTTTGCACAAGAAGATGTTCCGGAACAATAACCAGTATGCATTATGCATCCCTAATTGCCTCACGACGCTTGGGCTTGAACGTTCGTTTAGACGAAAATAATTTGCGATGTAAATGTGTTCGATAATTAAAAAAGAGCACTAGACAGCTGTTCCAATCTTATGACACACACTCCTTCCGCATTTAAGAAGACCATGGTGCATGCGTCGAGCGTTAGGAATATGTTGTAATTCATATGTTTCTGACGACATCGGTGGGCTTGTATAACTCGTGCTATCAGAAAGCACAAACCTTAAGGGATACCTAGTGCAATGCAAATAAAACCAAACACACAAACAGAACGTGAACGGGTTAGGCCACTTGTCTCATTGCACCAAAATGAGAGTCTTTCCAGATGCTCGCATATCCAGCCCTCCAAATGTCGAATATGACACTGCATACGAATTCTTTAAACGACAAGTCATCACAACTCTGGGGGTGGGAGACTACCAAAATTAGTGGATAGCGAAATGCTGAGAGGTGGAGTAGGCTGCGGAAATTGATACCAGTCCAAATATTTTTCTTCAAATTGTTAAGCCTGGATTAGCCCGTTCGATTGTTCAGATGCACCACACATTACTAATGAGCTACAACCAGGACAAAACAGCTGTCTAGTGCTCTTTTTTAATTATCGAACACATTTACATCGCAAATTATTTTCGTCTAAACGAACGTTCAAGCCCAAGCGTCGTGAGGCAATTA